TGACCCGTTAGGCAAGTAATGTTGAAAATGGCCACCATGACTCTCCATGTAATAATAAAGATTTTGCTCAAACGTTGCCGCACATTTTGCAATATTTGAGGAAGTAATTTGAAGGCACTCATTCACAATTCTTTGTCGCAGGTCTTCTAATGATGTTGGCTTGAGTAGCATAGATTTTACTTTTTATATGACCCCACATAAAGAAATCCAAAGGTGATAGATTTGACGATCTTGGGGGCCGTCTCAATGCACCTCTTCTACCAATCTATCGATCTGGAAACGTCTGATCTAATAAAGCAGGATCCATGGCGTCTTCCAGTAATTCCAAATACATTTCACCGGTCAAATTTCCAGGTAAGAAAAAAGGACCAACTAAATGATCGCCAAAAATACCAGCCCAAACGTTTAATTTTTGTGGCTGCTGTGTATGAACCTCATGATAAATTCTGGGACTAGAATCGGACCAATATCGTCAGTTATGACGATTTACTACGCCATTTAAGAAAAAGGAACATTCGTCGGAAAAGCAAGTGTTGAATAGAAAATGTTCATCGTTTATAATTCGTTCTCTCATATCTTCACAAAATTGTAATCGCCGATCAAAATCGTCTTCATGAAATTCTTGTACCAGGTGAATTTTATACAGATGAAAACTATGGGCCTTTAGATCCGCTGGACAGTACGTCGACTAACACCACACACAGTCTCCAATTTGCGGTTACTTAACGTAGGATCTACATAAACTTGCCCTAAAACCCCCACTTCTATTGCTTCGTTCCTTATGGAATTTTCAATGTTGTGTTTTTTATTGGCGACTGACCCAGTTTCCCGAAATTTAGCTACAAGTTCTAGAACATATTTTCGATGCACGTTACTGTTCTCATGTCGCTCATTAAATATTTCTTGCTGTTCTATTAGCGCACTGATTATTTCCGAAAAATATTTCGATAATTTCAACTCTTTCTTATTTAAAAACGTTTTTCTGAAAGGTAGCGGCTACAATATTTCTAAAGGTTTATGCTGATGCACTAAATCTTAATGTTAAATTAAATGTAAAATGTAAAAAGTAGGTGCATCATCTCGCACAGATCGTACAACCTTGCGTCTCGTTTTTTAAACCATATGAAAATTAATAAATGTGATATACTGACTTAAACGATGCCGCAAAACTTGTATGAGATATAGCTTATGGCTAATTTCGACTTCTTCTACTCCAATGAACTTAGCCAAAACTGTCGATATTGCACACTACTTGTATTTCCAGGCAATGGTGCGTTTTATATTACGAAGGTTAATGACAGTGACAGTGACAAGCATACTCATGAATTGGTGAGAAAATTTCGAAGTGGTGAACCTAAATAACGTATGTCTCTGAGTTGACACAAAGAAACGTCTGCGCGCGGAGTCAGATTCTATATGTACTCGTATGTTTGAGGAAGGTGGAAGTATTAAAGTGATACCAGTAGTTATACTATGACCCGCCGAAAACTGTGAAAATATCTACCATATGTGACTATGCCTGTCCTTTTGTATCAGCATGTTGTCTGTGTTATTGGACAAGGGATAAATTTCCACAACCCGTCCGTGCGCACTGTTTGTATGTCACCGACTGAACTGGCTGAATATTACATCAGGTTTTTCCCAAAATGGAGCGTCATGTGATGCAGTACCGCACAACTATGATAGTATTAAAAGAATGAACAGTAATTACCCATTACGTCCTGACTTATCAGAGTCACTTGATGTTTCAACCTACATTCAGTGGAAATTCGTTTCCAGTTTGGAAACTTCCTTGAAACTATCCTTCACTCCCTATAGTTCATAATTTATTGATCTCAAAACCGAAAAGGCTTCACAGCTCTTGAA